GAGTGAGAGTGAGTGAGAGTGAGTGTGGGTGAGAGTGAGTGTGAGTGTGAGTGAGTGTGAGTGAGACTGAAGGTGGGTGCGAGTGAGTGTGGGTGAGAGTGAGTGTGAGTGAGAGTGCGAGAGTGAGTGAGTGTGAGTGCGAGTGTGAGTGAGAGGCGAGTGGGAGAGTGAGTGGGTGTGAGTGTGATGAGTGTGAGTGGGAGTGGGAGAGCGAGTGAGTGTGTGAGGGAGTGCGAGTGCGAGTGAGAGTGGGAGAGTGAGTGCGAGTGCAACCAAGCTCTGCGCCTGCCACGAAATCTGCACTTCGAGGTTCACCAAGCGCTGCGCCTGCCACGAAATCTAAACTTCGAGGTTCAGAAAGCGCTGTACACTGTACCTGTCGCGAAATCTGCACTTCAAGGTTCACCAAGCGCTGCGCCTGCCACGGAATCTGCACTTCGAGGTTCATCAAGCGCTGCGCCTGCCACGAAATCTGCACTTCGAGGTTCACAAAGTGCTGTACGCGTCACGAAGTCTGCACTTCGAGGTTCAGTGCTGTATACCCGCTACGAAATCTGCACCTCGAGGTTCACCAAGCGCTGTACCTGCCACGAAATCTGCAAACGAGCCACATGTCCAAAAGTCACAATTCACTGCACCTGTCGCGAAATCAGAGCTCTTCGACGATTACCACCATGTCGCCAAAGTGCTGCGCCTGCAACGAAAACTGCATTTCGAAGTAAAACAGCTCCGATCCCTTGCACTCACGAAAAGTCGACTTTGGAGCAGCAAAACACGAGGTTTCCCTTGCGCCTGTCACGAAAAGTGGCCACCATGTACCAAAATGCGGCGCAACAACGAGAGCGCAGTCGCCTGAAGCACCCGCTGCCGGCCCCCAGACTTTGTGAGCCTGCGCAGTCGAAGTGGGCATGAATGTACTGTAGATAGCAGCGAATTAGCCAGTCACGCCCGCGCGCTTCAGCGATCTAAGCATCAGCTGCTTTTCCACTACCGTAAGAACCCCTCAGTGTGCCCACACTGTTTGGGGAATAAAAAATACCGAGACACCATCACAACAATCTAAACATGACCGGGACACCATCACAACACGACCGGGACACCATCAAAATATCACCTGGAACCGTCAAAACATGACCGGACACCATCAAAACATGACCGGGACACCATCACAACATAAACGGGACACCATCACAACATGACCGGGACACTGTCACAACATGACCAGGACACCATCGCAACATGACCCGCATCACCTGACCGAGACACCATCAAAACATGACTGGGGCACCATCACAACAGGACCGGGACACTGTCGCAACATGACCGGCACACCGCCAAAAAAAGACCAGGACACCATCACAACTTGACCGGGACACCATCACAACACGACCGGGACACCATCGCAACATGACCAGGTGTCCACCATCACCACATGACCGGTCACAACACGCCCGGACACCAGCGTCACATGACCGGGACACCATCAAACATGATCTGGACACCATCACAACATGCATGACCGGGACACCGTCACAACATGACCGGGACACGATCACAACATGAC